GGAGTGGTCGGGGCAGGAGTGGTCGACATATCAAGTTGGCTGTGACTAGCTTTTCGGCTGAAATGTTCAAGGAGAATCAGGCTTTGGTTGAATGATCTTGAGCCAGCCAAGATCTGAATTTGCGTCAGCTGAAGCGCGTACATCTGGCTGGCCAGGTCCTGCTGACTTGCTTTGCCGAAGGGCAGCAGCTCCACGTCAGATGCTTATAAAGCACGAAAAACCTTCATACGGGCCACTAACACACTGTTTTGCTACTCCAGGAACTGTATGACGGCAAGCCAGTCACGATCAAGCTTCTACACCCCGAGACGCTGCAACTGGTCGCTGTTGAGGTAACCTTGAAGGTCCTCATTCCTGGCGACATGTCCATGCACTGGTCCCTCTTCCAAGAGGGTGGTGGTCGGGGGGGCAAAGATGCGCGTCCCTGTGGTCGGTGCAATTGCACCAAGGAGGACCTTGGGAAGGCGTTCCAGAGGTTTGAGGTCAAGGAGGGGGAGACCTTAGAGGACGTCGCGCTCCACCTTGGATACTCTGCCGACTTTCTGCGAGAGATTAATCCCGCGCTCACCAGCCCTATGGATCTAGTGTACAGGAAATTCCAGAAGGCGGTGCCTGCGCCCCAGCAGCCGGAGCCCCCTATTCAGCCAGCTTCGAAGAGGAAGAAGAAGCCTGGTCCCCCGCCACCCCCTCAAACGGTCGAGTGGGCTCCTACTCTCTCGTTGGATAGGGACAGCCTGCCGCAGGACAATCAACCGATTGGAGCAGGGTGAGTGGATCTCCCTTTCAAAAGTTACTCTTGGGAGAGGCTTCACGCCGGCACCAAGTGACATCCCAAGGGATTGCAAGTGGTCGGGGAAGCCTCCCAAGCTGATGGAATCTGCAGCGGTGCGTTTCTTTGGGGTTCTCTGTGACGTCTTGCAACTCTGAAGTCATCAGATTAGTTGGGAAGAGAGGTTCTGGCTGATCGCCGTTCGAGCTGCTATTTTCTTGGTGCGCCGTGATGGGTGTCCTGAAGCCCCGGGCACTAGATCGTGATTGGAGATCGTGTCCCGAGCTGGAAGCGAGGTGGCACCAGTCTGGTTGGTGATATGTGCCGGTAGCTCTTGACTCAAGAATCTGGTCGGAGGATCTAGCAGCGACTGACTGCAATATATCCACTTTCGCTTTCTCAGATCATTTAAGAAAGCGGCATAATCTCTTTAGATACTGACAGCGGGTATGATCTTCGTAATGGGTAGGGGTTTGCCTTGAGCTGGACAATAGGTAAGCTATTGTGTTCAGGGTACGCTGCGCCGTGCGTGCAGCCCTGGTCAAATGAAGGGAGTTCAGATCTGCCCCGTCCAGTGTCGGATGAGCAGCTTGTATTCAACCATTCTGATTCGCTCACTTCATTGTTCTCGGTTCAGGTTCATTCGCGTTTTCATCAACTGGTCCATGAACCGCGAGTGCCCGCACGCGTACCTGAAGGTCGAGCACGAGGACGCTCCGTTCTGCTCGGAGCACATGACCGCACGAGTGGTCGAAAACTTCCTCAAGTGGGTGCACATGCGTGCACAAGAGCGGTGAGTGCTCACTATTTCCTTTTTGTGGCATGCTGTCCAGTCGCGGCCGTTGGGCCGTTGCATACGGAGTCCGTTATTTCCAAGGATTCGTCAGAAGCCGCTTAAGATGATCTCTGAAGCCTGCTCTTGCTTCTTTGGAATACAACGATCGTTAGCGAGAGAGCTCTGTAACCTGTTTGGGCTTTGCATGTTTCGGCTCCTGAGCTACCTTATTTGTGTCGAGACAATCTGCCGCGGCAGCGCTTCCCATTCGGGAGGGGTTTGATTAGGCTGCCGCATGCAGCCGCTTCTAAAAAATCATTTTCGCTTGCTGATTATTTCCCTGATATGCAGGGCGCAAGTCGACGAGATCAACGCAAAGTGGAAGGAGTTGAAGATCAACTACGGCATCAAAAAGAAGCCACAGGGGCAGGGGGAAGGGTACAAGGACCCGAGCTGCAAGGGAAAGGTGGCTCGGGATCTTCTGCACAAAGTCGAGGAGTGGGTGCCCCTGTTGCTGAAGCCCGGCGAGGAGCAGATTCTGGAGATCTGGCAGCTGTTCCGGCGGATGGTTGCGACTGCGCGCGCCTATCACCCCTGCTTCTCGGACATCCAGGAGTTCAAGACGACTGCAGCCCGGCTCTTCATCCTCCACCGACTGCGTCTAACGGACGAGAATTTTGCTTACTACATCCACACAGTCTGCTGCCATGGTACTTGCGTCGTTCTTATCTCACGTGATATTGACTACTTGTGCTGAGATTCTCTAGTCCTGCGTTACAGAATGAAAGTAGGTGGTTTGATTCTTTCCCCTTCACAACTAGACCGGAAAGACCCCAGCTGAATAATACGTGTTAGTTTCTTCCCCTTGCAGGTTATACATACCTGCTCCGGGGGGGCCTTGGCCGCGTCATGCAAGAGGCTGTCGAGGCTGAGCACCTGGACAAGGACAAGATGGTCGAGGGCACTTTCCAGGGGGGGAATCCGGGGAACCCATATATGACCAAGACCAAGGGCGAAGACGGCCGATGGCACTATGATAAAGATGGTCCTCGGAGAGAGATGAAGGTTAGAGCTCGCATTCACCTTTGCTTCCATTCTTGAAGCGACGCTCGAGGGCCTCGCATAAACAGCTTGCACTTGTTCCGTAATTCTAGCTTCCGTGGGCTCAATCAGCATTGCTGTGAAGTACGCTTGGTAATTATCTTCCCACGTTTCACTCTCTTTCTCTACTTTGAGGCCCAAAGTGGATCCGAGCACAACACCTGACCAATATAAGATTCTGTCACAAACCTGATGTGTCACTTGAACGAGTATTGATGACGGAATTCTGTTCTGCAGAAACAACACATCACCGAGTACGTGATGCAGAAGACAAACCGGCTTCTATACTACCGATTGAACCATTACTGGAACCAAAGATGGTTAGCTGAGTTGTTCGATAGGGTTAGGGCAAACCTTGGTGCATTCGAGCAAAGCACGCAGCAGGCTGTTGAGGCCGAGATAGACGAGGATGACGAGCTTCTCGAAGAAGTTTTAAACGAGCAGGAAGAGGAGGCTAGTCGATGGTCAGGGGCAGCTGGGCAGGTCAATCATAATGTTTGCGCCATGTGTCAACATGAGGAGGCGGCTAGCACAAACCCTCTGGTAAAGTGCTCAATGTGCTTCCGAAGGTTCCATAGGTTGTGTCATTCACCTGCTATAGCGCAGACAGAGGGTGAGAGCTCCCAGTGGCACTGCGCAGACTGCCACGACCCAGGTGCTGCGTTAGGAAATGACGGTGACAGTGACAGTAGCTAGCACTTGATGCAAACATGTACTATGTGTATATAATTATTTCCAAGATTGAGATCCATGAGTCGGACTTGACCTGCTAACATGGCCAGCCTCGGCCACAGTCCCGGGACCTGATTCGTGGTTCATGAGTTGTCATCAACTGCTATACTCTGTGACTGCTGATTAATATATTCAAATTATTCTGCCTCTCGCAAGCTCGAGATCGACATGCAATTACTTATATAGTTGTCAATGATGGTGACTCTGGCCGGTCGGTCCGGTCATCCTAGGCAGCTAGGCTGAGCCTAGTAGCCTTGAATGAACCGTCTCATTCAATGGGATGATGTATTCACATATCATCTCAGAGACTGACTGCTAACTTATTGAAGGTGGCTAGTGCATGCAATCTAAGGCCGCGGGCGGCTTCAATGATGCAGATGGACATGAGAAACATTGGCCGGCCGCTGCACGCGCATCATCTGGCAACGCCAAACCTGGCCGCGCCGCCTGGCCCCGATCATGCAAGCCCCTTCATGCGACATACATTTAAGAATTATATAGTATACGCAGTGACACATGTGCACCAAAGCCCCTCGTTCGCCACATGCCACATATGCATTTGCTAACGTATGATGATATAGCTTGAATCACATAAACCGCTACTGCATGGGGATGCGGCATTGCATATATATTGAACTCATTTAACAGCGCGCTGAAATACGGTATATGCGCATGATTGTGTACTCCATGCCATGCCGCAACTGCAAATGGTACTTGGATTTACAGTTGGATGGCATCATTGCATCCGAGCACGATGTGCATTGATGCGGCTGTAACCGAACGGCAGTGCCCACATGCATGAATATCATGAAAGAACTGAATACGATTCTATTCACTTTGGAACACGTTTCATTGCGAGGGGATTACATCGAGTGTCCCACTGACTAGCCCCTGCAAGGTTGAACATCTCTAGCCCGTGCATCCTAACCTTCAATTTATCCCCTGCTGGCGCTAACTCAAAAACAATTGGCAGGTGGATCTCGTACGAGTTCATATCCCCTCCAACCCGTGCGGTTTGCGCATACTTTATCCACCAGTTCTGACCTAGCAAGGGTACCAGCTGCTCCTTTTGGTCAACTCGAAGCTGGATGCACGATTTCTTCTGGTTCCATGTAGTACAATCTAATAGACTGGGGGGCAGTAAGGCAACCTCTCGCAAAGTGCAGCGAACACTGCACTCGGGAACCCACTTATCTTTTATAACCGTCTTGTTAGCTACATATGCTTGGAGCCTCTCACCAAGTTCACGGGCTAGATCTGCAATCATGTCGCTTGCTTCGCTAGTATTCCTATAAGCCTGAGCCTGGAGGTATTTTAGAAGTCGAGGAAGGCTGCTCGGTCCCCGCGAACTTCCCTCCAGGTTGAAGTCAATATGCTTGAGGAGGCCCGAATCATAATCCCAGACGCTCTGTATCCAGAACATGCAAGAAGTGTGAAAGCAAGCCGGAAAGCTTTCACAGTACAAAACACAATATAAGATTCGCTCATACCACCTTCTCACTAAGCTTAGAAGAAAGACTCGCATGAAACGTCAGCTTGGTTCGTCAAACCGGCCAAACAGCCAACCAGCCAGAAATGAGCTCCCAAGACGTTTATCTAGAAGAGATTTTCGAGACTTGCTAACGATCAAACGCGAAGTACAGGAAATCCGATTACCGAGCGTGGACAAGTGCAATCAGAGAGTAGCATCTGAGCGAGACACACAAAGCTCGGGTTCACTTACCTTGTAGTACAGCCCGTCCAAGTTTTCTCCCACAAAGAAGGGTTGAACATCCGTCAGATCTAGAATCTCGTCAACTTCAAACTCAGCTCTATGCCTAGTTACGTACACCTCGCTGTCCTCTTTACTGCCTTGAAAGTCGCTTATACCGGACAGCACTCGAATATCTTCTGCTCGCCAAAAGAAATAGCCTGCCCCTGTCTTTCCTGACGGATGGTTTGGGGGAAAGAGCTCGGTGATAAGAAGGATGAATGGAGGGGTATTCTCCTGCTCGGGTCGGAGAAACACACACTGTCCTACGAACAGGGTCCCAGGTGAGTCATTAGGCATCAGCTTATACCAGCCTTTGCCTTTGAAAGTCAACGAGGAAATTAGGGTCTGCTCAATGGAGGGTGCCCACCAGGACAGAACCTGCTCAATAGAGACTGTTTCGGAGGTCTCCCAACTCGCTAGAGCTGCAACACAAACCACTTGGATGAGTATGATATGCATGGGTCCCTGGAGACAAAATGCACTGCTTTGAAGACAGTAGATCATTCACTAGACGAGTTGTGAGCAGTTGGGGCTGAAGCGGTGCATTGCATCCAAGTGTTCCCAGTCAACTCCACACCTCCAACGCCAGTCCATGACAGCAAGCAAGACCCACTTCATAGTGCAGAGCAAAAGCGCGCAATCCAAGGTTTTGCTCGCAATCCAAGGGGAGTGCTCCGCACCTGGACCTTTCTGCTTCTTTCGCGCGCCGGCTGTGCCGCTCTTGACCGGCGACAACCCATCAATATCTACGCCTGCGCATGAAGTGCAGAAAGTGAGCAATCAATGGCACATTTGTAATAAATCAGTGCAGACGCACAAAACTGGAAGAGCGATCGCCCCAATCCTGGATTGATTTTTTCAAGGGGTAATGCAACAGGGTGGAAGAGTCCCCCCTGAAAGATAATTTCGAGCTGTTTCCGAACCACTATTATCCAGGGAGGGGCAAACAACAGAGTAAGGCAGGGCTCCCTTGGGCAAAATGCCGCATGCAAAGTCACCGGCAACATACCAGGAACACCCCCCCTGGAAGAGGCCGCACAAATCGATTGCGCGGCGCTTTTGCAAGAAGCTCAGTAGTGACAAAGCGAAGCAGGCCCTATGGACAATTGTGCTGGTCCCAGTTATATAAGGTGGGAGCAATCCTTCCTTTTCAGAGAATACGACACAGACTCTAGACAGCAAGACCACCGCGGCACACCCGTCAGTGGACAACCGTCAGTCCTGGTATATGAAAGTGCAAGCCCCAAAGCAGGCCCATATGTAAGGTGAGGAACATGGTACTTCTTTGACGGCATAGCATCTGCCACTTCGCCCTGTTTAAATGAAGACTTAAGGCAGACCGCAACCCTTACTCCCCTGGCATTTGGGTCACTCACCTGCATCTAGCTGTGCGTAATTATGCACAGCCCGCCTCCGCTTCGCTTCCTTCCCCGCACTTGCAGACGTTGCTGACAACAGTGCAAGACAGCAAGCATTGAGTGTTTAACCCTTTTGGTACTATGCAAAAAGCAGATTTGCATATTATCAAGGAAGACTTGCAGGGAACAGAAACAATCGGTGATTGCTAATGTTATAATCATGAAAAAAGCGTACCAGCAGACCAAACGTTTAATCATTCAGGGAAGTCACTCACATGCCTGGTTCTGCAATACTTCCGGAACAGGAGGCCTTGCAGTTGAGGCTACCGATGCTGGAGGTTCATCTGCTTGAGCACCGCGCTGAATTCCTGGACCAGAAGCAGGTACGGACCTTCTGGAAGGTGCTGCACAAGTATAAGGGTGTGCGCCAGGTAAGAAGCACTAGCCTGCCCGGCAAGTGTGGAATATAATCTATGTTGATCGAGAGTGGTTGAAATTGCTAAGTGTTCATGACCCTTGGCAGTCTTGGATTGCTGGAAAGAGGGAGGAAGCAGCATCTCAGCCACAGGCGCTGCAGGCCCTGCCACTGAAGGAAAGTTTGCAACCGCAGAGCAGTGGCCCCAGTACATGAGACACGCAAGAGCCGGGGAAGTAACCTGTCACAATGAACGAGCAGCAGATAGAGGCTGGATGATTACGAGCGATTATGCATGAATTCCTCTTTCACGCAGCTCTTCTTCTCTATCCTTACTCAGCTCCGACAAGGCCTGCCAAGGGTTGGCCAAGGGTTGGCCAAGGAATCAACCCAAAAACCCAAAGGATGAGAGAACTTCAGCGGACCAGTCCTGTCAAAAACAAGCCATCTGTTTACAGAAGGAAACCAAAGCTACAACTTCCATTTAATGCACACATTGAAGACACCTCACCTTTTGCAACAGCCGCTACTGCTGGGATGTGCCATGGATAATTCCCCCACAGGTTCGTCAAGTCTGCACTTGGGTCCAGCCGCTTCATACATGCCTCTACTTGCACTTTGCTTGCCAAATAGACCCCTTTCTTCAGGGCTGGCTCCACCCCCGGGGGCCACATGTACCTGTCCATCCAGATCCGCTGCCCTGTCTTATCTATTGTTGACCTACAGCCAACACCCCAGCTGAACCCTGGCGGTGCATATGGAGGCCCCTGCCCCCGCGCATTAGGTCCTACAGGGGGCACTTCAAACATGTTTCAACACCAATGAAGTTGCCAGACAAAGGCGGGGCCTGCTCGCTGCAGCCAGAAGGGCCAGCTCGCCCCCGAGACACAAAACCTGGTGGCGCGGCTACAGAACAGGGGCTTGGCAACAGGGAAGTAGTCCACCCTGACAAAGACAGAATAGGTATAGTAGAGCTCAGCACCTTTTCCTTGACAATGGCGGCTGTGTTCGGTCTGCAGCTCGCAACAGCCCACCTTTCAACCTCTTTGCCCTGGCAAGGAAGGTGGGCCTAGGTAGATAGTATTACTGTATCGATCTGAGGTAGAGTCAGCATGGCGGCAGCGCGCTAGCGCACCCTGGCACTGGCGACCGGACCTGGCAGCGGACACGTAGGCCGCA